AATTTACAGGCCCCATTCAAATTTTTTTTTTTTTTTTTTTTTTTTTTTTTGTTCTTATGTAAATTAAGGTTTGAAAATCTTTCTTTGACTCGAATTACAGAATGTTTCTATAATTGAATTACAAAATGTGACATAGTAACATTTTAAATACTAAACATTCTGACAAACAGGGTGCCATAATAATATTTCTATAATGAAACGGAAACTTTTTCTTGCACTTAAGCATCTGTGATACAGAATTTCATTTGCATAGAAAAAAGTGTGAAATCTGAACCTTTCTAAAAGTTATTTTGCCAAGCTTTTTTAAAAATAAAACTTATTAAACCCTTTAAATGCATACTATTTAAACAAATGAAGGTTACATTTGAGTTCTTGTACTACAGATCTACCTGGTGCCTCATAGCCTGGCCAGGAAAAGGGTGTGGAATAAGAAGTATCCCATCTGCGTTGAGCTGGCCAAGCAGGATGACTTCCTGGCCAAAGTGCAGGGAGATAAGTCTGATGTGGTGGAGGAGAAAACCCCTGCAGTAGGAGACAGGCCCGAGGCTGTAGGCACTACTGAAGAACCTAAGAGAGTGCACACAGAACCTGTACTGTACCTGTTTGGGAGGACAGGAAGAGACAAAGAGGAATGGTTCAGAAGGATGCTACTTGCGTCCAAGCTGAAATCCGATGCCAAGAAGCCCTCTGGCCTGCCTACAAGTAAAAAATTTACAAATGGTCCTTTATTCAAACCATTAGTACTTTCATTAAGAAATAGTATTATTGCAATGATAGCACAATAGACATTTTTGAAATAAGTGTATAAATAGATATATATACACACACACACACACACAAAATAATAAAAAAGAAAATGGATTTACAGTGTAAATGACTGGAAACGCATCATCACAGTCTGTGAAAAGGGTCCATAGAAAGTATTTTCTTCATGAATGAGAACTATTGAACAGACTAGACTTTTATCCATAGTTTTGTTTTTTTCCAAATTAATTAATTACGTAATCAAGTCGTATTATCTCTCTCGGCAGGCTGTCTGTCTCGTAGTCGCAACAGCAGTCATGGCAGTCTGGATGAAATTTTCCAGTCTCATCCCAGACAAAAAGACCTTGATGCCAGTCTCAAACAGAAAGTTCTGGAATACAACGTCTACATGGCCAAATATGTCAGCCAGTCTGCAGGCAGCCCCACCACAAGCCCTGATCAGAGTGCTGGAAGCAGCCCGGGAATCGTGAAAAAGGTCCACAATATTTCACAATGTCCATTTTCCGAAAAAACGTAATCTTTCATTTAAAGGGGTCATATAATGCTTTTTTTAAAGATCATTATTTTGTGTATTTGGTGTAACAGAATATGTTGACATGCTTTAATGTTCAAAAAACACATTATTTTTCAAATACTGTACATTATTGTAGGTCCTCTATGCCCCGCCTCTCTCAAACGCTTAGTTTTCTACAAAGTCCCTCCTTCCGACAAGCGCAGTCTGCTCTGATTGGCCAGCTGACCCAGTGCATTGTGATTGGCCGAACACCGCAAGCACTCGTCAGAAATGTAACTCCCCTTACCATAATCGCGAGCTTCATCTTTCAAAATAAATGTAAAGACAGTAAATAATGTCATTAGTTTTACCATTAGTTTAAGCCTGAAAGGGGAACAGACACAGTAATGATGCAGTACACAAGCCGCGGTTAAGACAGCTGATTCTACTGTGATGTAATGCTGTCTCTCGCTCTCTCTCACACGCGCGCACACACACACACACACACACACACAATGTGCAAAACTCCGCATTTGAACAGTCAATAGCAAATACTTAAACTAATAACAAAACAGTAGCTGA